TCAAAATCCCAACGTTCCAAATCCCGACTATATCAAAATCTCGACGACCATAATCTCAACTGTATCAGAATCTCAACAACCATAATCCCGACTGTATCAAAATCCCGACTATATCGAAAATGTTTACAATAACATTTTTAAATTATATCGTCACTCGTTATGCGAAACGTCGCTCGTTAAGCGAGGTTCCACTGTATTATGAAAATGTATATATCTAATTCACTTTATTATAGTTCATGTAAATGAAGTTAATAAATATTACGATTAATGAGTTCTAATCGAAATGAAAAGAAGTTATCATTTAGTTAATTGGTGTTGTTTGTTTTAGATTAGGTAAACCGAATTATATTCAAATAACAATAATAATAATAAAACAACACAAAAAATACATCATGAATATAAATATAAATACGATGAACCAAAAATATTTTATATTTTTAAAGCGTTAATAAATTGCCATAACTGTCAGCTCGACACCTGATATCTCCATATATACATTTAGACATCAGGCCAGCCAACACTATTTCAAACTGGGGGGAAAACGAAAGAGCGAGAAGAGGATAACAACAACAACACCAAAAAAACACACACGACGAGCGAGAGAAGAAAATGGATAAAAAAAGCAACCGGAGAATTCCTACAAATCAGGCGTTAATGCCACATAAAGTATGCGAGGGTGTTGTGCGGACACCTCTCCACTTTTCCTTCCTCTTTCTTTATTTTTTGATTTTCTCGCTACTTATTTCCTCATTTTTAGTTCATTTATGTCTCTCATTATTTGTATATACACTTATCCCCAGTTTTACTTTATTTACTCGTTTTCGCAAATTTTACATGGTTTTCAAAATTTAAAAAAATTAAATGTTTAAAATAACCTATACCTCGTTTTACACGGTACTTTATTTATATGTTTTCGCATTTACACGGTTTAAAAAAAAGTAAATGAAAATGTTGGTTTATGAATCTTTTAGATTATATTGTTTGTTAGATTTAGGAACCTTACAAAAAAATGAAAAAAAAAAACATAATTAATAAGCAACGAAATTAAAAACGTTACAATTTCAATTTACACGTCTTTTTCAGTAACCTATAGGTATACTTCTTACATATACTTATTCTTGGATTAACAATTTAGTTTCGATTAACAGTTCAACGCAGTAACTAGAAAAAATGATAGAATTTGATATAATTTTCTGTAAATAAATATTGAAGCACTATAATTAGATATCTATTAGGAAAAAAAAAACAATTTTTGTATATAAATAGTTTTTGTAATAAAAAGAAATAACTCTGTACATATAAAAATTGAAAAGTAAATTGATATTTAACAAACATATGTATAAATAAAGTATTTTACAATTTAATTATAAAAAAAATATATATATTTGTTTTAAAATAAAAATCAAAATCGGCGTAAATAAAAATATATATTTACAATATTAATAATAGTCGAATGGATCATATTGATGTGCTCCACTTGTTTTTCGTCATTACCATTGCATTGTTTTTTTTCCCTGTTATTGTTGTTTAATGTTCAGTGAAAAGCGATATTTTACATTAAAATATTGAGTTCGTTAATGGTGCTCTTTCTCGTTTTTATTTCACTCGCATCAACAAATCTGACAACAAAACTGCGAACGATAAAAAATGGAAAATATTTTGGCCCAAAAGAAATTCAATATTACCAACAATTTAACGTTGTATCTATATTTCCATCAGTTTTTTTTTTGCAGCAGTAGTAGCAGCATTCATTATTGTACAATATAATATTTCGAAATACATAAATAAAAGGTATTAAATCTAATTGTTTCAATTACTAACTGTAAAAGCCTAAATTAAATTTGTTATTTTCTATATAAAAAAAAAATGATTGCGATCCTATTTCGATAGATCAAATATAGTTTGCAATTAAAATAAACAGTTTCTTTAACTGTTCGCAATCGAGAGAACTATTATGATATTATTGTGATAAGGGATAACAGGATGTATGTCAATTAAAGGAAAACCGCAAGGACAATGAGCATTTTGGAAAATGAGTGGCTTCGGTTACTCCATTATTATTGCAAACAACGGTTGCTAATCAGTATGCGAGGGTGCAACGGTGGTTGTAATTTGGTGCCCATGGTGACCAATGGGTTGGATGTAGGGTGCGGGCCCTTTCGTTCCCACAACGCGCTGTTCGCGTGCAAGACACGCTCTCGCCTCGTGCATTTCATTATCGCATCGCACTTTTCCCTTATTTCATTACCTTTTATATTACACCCACCTATTCATTCACCCATCACATAAACACTAATCTCCTACATCCTTAGATAAAAGTATTTCAATCAAAATATTTCAAAATTAATATGAATAATAATCTTTTTGCTGATACATTTAACTCAGAGGTTCTTTTTTGTGTCGTAGACCCCTTGCTATGTTTTTCGGTTATGGGAAGACCCCCTACTTACCTGATATTGATATTTTGTAAATTTCTAACTGTAGTGAAGTTTAGTGTTAAAAACTTAAAGTAAAGTTTTATACATTTAATAATTGAATTTAAATTAAAACTACTCAAAATAAAATTTTGTATCTGTTATATAAAATATACGTAACATAAAATAAACTAAGCAATAAGTAAATGTTTTTAGTGAAAAGGATGAACCTGATGCTTTAATAATAAATTATCAACATTTGGCGTCAATTTAGTAAGATTTAATCTTAAATCTCCTCGGCTAATGATGTCCAGTCTGTTTCTTTTTATCGTTAGGAGATTGGTAACAGCGATGAACCCCCTTTCCACTAGGTATGACGATGGAAAGGAAATGAAAAATTTCCTCGCTATATTCCATAATACGAGATAAGTCCACTATTGTGGACCCCCATTTTCATTTCATGGACCCCCCAATTTTTTTTTTGCTGACGTAGACCCCTTGCAGGTTGTCGTAGACCCCTGGGGGTCGATATAAACCACTTTGGAAATCACTGATTTAACTAAACTTTATGAAGAAAATATATGAAGAATCTATCTAAATTCAGTTATTTTGTTGCTATTGAATGTTACATATTATGAAGTGTACGATAAAGAAAAATAAAATAAATATTATGGACAACTTTGAAACTGCAATTATAAATCGCATTTGAAGCATAAAAATAAACAAATGGAAAAAATATAAACATTAATAACGTTCGCATCGCTGATATTATTCACGTATATACATAAATAAAATTGGCGCCGTTCAAAATGATAGCAGAATGTTTGTTTACTTAGCTCTGGTATAAATAATAATATTAATATCAATTCTGGTGAAGATAAAAGAGAGCTTAATCATAATCGTTCCACTTATAATGGACGCATTATTATCAGCTCAAAGAAGGCGTCGATGGTAATATTATATGAGTACGGAATGAGATCATATTCAGCTGTTGTACGACACATAAACTAATCACACTACTTAAATCCGTGTCATTAAGATAACTGATTTTTATCCTAATAATTAAACTCAATTGGAGTGTGTATGTGTCACTAATGCGTTTTATTCTTATGAATCCATAAGCAAATGTTTACGTTGCATTTAAATTACGTCTTATATTTTATATTCGATGTTCAGCACTTCCGAATATTCTAACCTATTGTATTATTTATATCCTTTGTGCAGCTTTGTCGTTCTTCTTTTCTTTTCTTTTTTTGTAGAATTGAGGGCATTTTAGTTCCAGCATTTGAGATCGAGTCAAAACAGTGAGCATTGTCGTTGGCCGTGTTAACAATCTCTTGACTATGCATTGAAGAAGGGCGTCCACCGTTGAGCTGTCGAGTTCTTCAGGTAAAGACCTTCGTAGTATGCACAGATGAAAGGAGATGGAGATATTCCTCTTCATCTTTTTTTTTTTCATTTACTTCTCTTCTTTTTTTTTCAAGTAGCCGGTGTGCACACAAAAGGCCCAACTTATTATTTACAAAGTACCGTAGTCGATGGGACTTGACTATCGCCGCAAAAGTCCAATTCAAATGAACACCACCGGGTTCAGAGACGGGAGGGAAAAACCTCAATGGTCTATAAACATTGTTCATTTCCCCTGGGTTCTTTTCTTCATCTCAGCCACGTCTCGACCACACAAACAAGGCCACTCATCGCCAAATCATGCAGAAAACCAAATTACACACGCACTCGTTTACTTTCTATTCTCTACCATTCTATCCTACTCCTTCAGTGTATACAAAAAGTCAAGATTAAATATTGGTCCTCCTATTGTGCCAGGCGTATTTAAAAATGGATCTCTCAAATATTTGGAAGCTCTTGACGCGTAAAAATTACATTTTCCACGGTCAAAATCCACAAAACGAGCACATACAATAGTTATGTCAATAGACATGGCGCTAGTACCAATTTGATGCTATTTATCCATTCAATGGTAACCACAAGCCAACCCTATTTAATCTACAACATATGCAACATAATTAAATAAAATATTTATTATTATATAATTGATGCACCCAAGTTGCTAATAATAGAAAGTACAAATGTTAACACATTAATCAAACAACATTATATATTATAAAAGCCAATTCGATCTTAAAAGTTTGCAAATTGAGAGAATTTCACCGAATTCAAATAGTTTTCTTGTTATTGAAACATTTTCGCAAGTAGAGAAATTATTTATGTAAGTTAATGTTGAAAAAAAATAAATTCAAGAAAATCCAATTACATAATTGATTATTCATTATGAAAAATATTCTATGAATTCTATAAATATATGTCATATGACATTTAAAATCACGCGAATTGATACGTCGTAAAGTTGTCATTAGTTGAAAAAATTTACTGAATTTTTAGGAAAAAAATATAATGGGAGAAGAGAATAAGCCTCGAAAATGTAATCAACTGTTGGCGGGTTTTGCCGGTACGTTTGTGTGATATCGACGATTTGTGTCTTTTTTATATTTATTAATTCAGTAAGTAGCATGCGGAGGTGGATTTGTGATCGGAAACGTGATTGGTTGGGCATCGCCTGCAGAAAGTATGATTGCCAAGTCGATGAACATCACAGGAATTCAATTCGGATGGATTGCAAGCATCATGGCTGTAGGTGCAGCTTGCTCGCAGATCTTGATTGCAATATTCATGGATTTGGCTGGAAGACGATGGTCTTTCGTAATATTCTCCGCGCTGACCGTCTCCTCCTGGGTCGTCCTCATAGTCCTGAACAATTTCTACGGTTTGATAGCCGGAAGATTCCTGTTGGGCCTCTTCGCTGGTGGTTTTTGTGTAGTTGCACCAACCTACATAGCGGAGATTACACACAAGTCCATCAGAGGTGCCGTCTCCGTAGGATTCCAGCTGCTGCTCACCATCGGCATTCTCTACTCTTACATATTCTGCGCTTTTAAAAACTTGTGGGCTTTAAATCTATGCTGCATCGTACCACCGATTGTCGTCCTCGTGGCATTCGTTTTCCTCAAGGAGACGCCAGTGTATTTGATGAAAAATAACAACGAGTCGGATGCAGTTAAAGTGCTGCAGTTCTACAGAGGCAAGGACTACGATGTGACTCAAGAGATGAACGAGATTAAATTGCTTACGGCCAAGGACGACTCGAAGTTCTGTCGCGCGCTCAAGAAGAAATCTTGCATCAAAGCATTTCTGATGCTTCTAGGGATGCACGTAGTTCAACAGCTTAGCGGCATCAACGCTGTCATGTTTTATGCGGAGAGTATTTTTATGGATACACATACATTCGTTGATGCCTGCTTATCTCAAGTTGTCCTCGGTATAGTCCAGGTCCTTGCCACAGGATTGTCAGCTGCGATTGTCGACCGAGTCGGACGAAAGATCCTTTGGTATGTCTCCTTATTTATCATGGCTGTATGTCTCATACTAGTTGGAATTTACTTCCAAATTCTGGCCAACGACGAGGAAATTGCGAAACGGATCGACCTGCTTCCCGTCTTCTCCATCTTCATATACATAATTGGATTTTCGCTCGGATGTGGACCTCTACCATGGGTCATGATTGGGGAACTGATCCCAACCAGAGTCAAAGCCTTCGTCGCTATGACCATAGCTGCACTTAACTGGATGCTGGCCTTCGTCATATCGCTTACATATCCGATACTGAAAGATATAATGGGCAATTACGTTGTATTCTATATGTACGGTGTTGTATCCGTTCTAGGAATCGTCTTCGTATGGTATTGCGTTATCGAAACTAAAAATAAGTCTCTGAAGGAAATCCAAGAACAACTTGAGGCTAAAAATGATGAGAAAGAAATTAAGAAATAAAGAAAATACATTTCATTGACTTCGTTTTTGTTATTACATACAAATTATATATATAAAATCAAATACAAATAAAAGGTATTATAAATATATAAGATAAATTCAGTATTATTTATTTAAATCGAATAATTAATCGCAAAAGTCATTCATAATAGAAAATAATAAAATAATTAGTTTTTGATTTTATTATGTAATATGAATATTTTGTAATAAATAATAAATTTATTTTATATAATTAATTAAATATACATTTCCGATTTGGAAATGCATATATTTCATTGATATAAGAGAACGTCTTCCATTAAATGTTATATCAGAGATGAAATAACCGTTCAACAATTACTTATGTTGTCAGACAATCATTAATAATTCTTATAAAGATCTTTATTCTCTTCTCTGATATTTATATATGCAGGAATCTTAAATTTAGTCAAAATAAATTCAATTTGTAATTTTTCATATGATGAAATACAAATTGTTTACCTCTTCTTCTTGAATTTACCACATTTAATGTTTATTATAAATATTTTTATTTTTACTAAGTATTTTCTTTAGTAGCCGTATGGTTAAGTCGCCCTACCCACGATTTTATGGTCGCCGGTTCGAATCCTGGTCAAACTTGGCCCTTTGTGAGTCCTCTAGCTGATTGCAGCATACGGACCTTCAGCCAATTCGATGGACAATGACAGTGTTAAGGATAGCCACAGATTTACAGTGAAAGGAAATAGTGGAATCGCAGAGCATCAATATACTACTGAAGTTAACTTACAAGACGACATTCAACCAACAAATTCAAAAATCTAATCATCATAATGGTAAAACTATCCACCGGGAAAGATTATCCAATTAATATCAACCGCGATCTTAACTTTACTCAATGTTCACATTGCTGAACAGATTGTGTATTAGACGACATAAAAAAACTATAACTGACTGCATCCGAAGAAATCTAAGATTGAATCAATCTTGAATCTTCAGAGAATAGAATTGAGCATACAATCATATAGGTAACTGTTTTTAGGCTTCTTTGAAATGAAATACGAAACATCGGGTTTCATCAATTTTGAGAATCAATATATTATGATGTAATAAGACGCACGCTAAATCTATGTCGTTTCTCAACGACAAATTGTTCAATTCGTGATAAATGGCACTAGAGTATAAATCGCAAACGGGGATATAATAGGTAATCGATCGCGCAAGTTAATTGATTCTTTCAGTATGTTGTTACTCCTTTCAAAGTGCGTACATCTGCTGGAAATCGAAATCGTTCCGAAGGGAAAACGCACGTATTTATATATCTACAGTTCCTTTCGCACTCGTTAACTTAACACTGCGGTTCATGTTGTTGTTATTGTTTACTTTTTTTTGTGTATTTCGGGTAAAATCGAAAAGGGTTGCGATTTTTAGCGAGAGGAGCAGCAGCGCGCCTGGATCGGGTTTCCACGCCGGATCTAGGATTACAGAGGCGAAACGCACTCGACCAGTTCAGTGAGTGGCTCTGCCTTTTGCGCCCTTTTGTCCGTTTTCAAACCGAGTATTTGTAATGGTCTAATGGTCTCGTTGCACAGTTGCTGCCATATCCGGTTACGCGATTTTATTTCATTTGCGGTTCGCGGTTTACAAGGTGATCCCTTTTTTTTTCTTAGCCCGGTTCCTTTTCTCTCCCGCAACATCTCGTCTCCGTCTCACCAGCACGTCAAACATACGACTGTCTCCTTTCGGATCACTTCCTATTTAGATTTTCCCTCTCATTTTTATCTGCCTCTCTCGCTGAAGGAGATTCGTTCTTTCCAATCCGCAACTCATTACTTGCAAATCCAAGCACGCCGTGAGAATCGATGCCGTTGCGAAATTGCATTTCTGGTTATGGCTCAACTTTTCAGCACGAGCTGTTCTTTAAAGAAATAGATGGATGAAAGGAAGAGAAGGAACGGACTTAACCGCATGGAAAATCCGTGGAAGCACAATAGACAGGGCATTAGTTCTGTTTACAAGCAATGTTCGCTGACTGCTGCTCCATCCGTAATCGCTTAATCCATGCAGATGCTTACTCAACCCGAGATTTTAACCAGAAACTCTCTTTCCTGTTTATCTTCGATTATCACTTATTTTATTCAACAACAACAATAATAAAAACAACCAATAGCATTTCTTAATTACTAATGAACCCTCGAATTGAAAGAGTTATGTAATTGAGCCGTCGATTGACCCTCTTTTTACGCGGCTCTCGTTCTTCAGGGGTGCGAAGCTGAATGTAACATGCTGGATGCATAATATTCGTAATTTATGACTCCGATGATTACGGAAGGAGATAAATCCTTAATAATGGTGCATATGTATGGACGGTGTGATAAAACACATCTATACGCCGACGACAGAAAGAGAGAGTGAAATAATAATAATAATAAAAAAAAGGGCAAACTCGGTCGACCCTTTCTCCTGGTCGTAGTAGGCTCAATAACGAGCCCCCGAGCGACCAATATACTTAGCTATGGAACCAACCCTCGGCGCAGCTGGAATTAAATGAATCAATTTTCCTCTTCCCCGGCTTATTTATTATATTCTCTATATATATATTTTTTTATTTCGCACTCCTCCAGAACACTTCAACAGTCCAAAGGGAGAATGCGATATGGATCATTAAAATCAATTAATTATTTCCGCAGATCCTCCCAACCCTCAACCAAAGAGTTTGCCATTTGACGTTCGTCAAATGTGAATCTCATGCTACTCATTTTATTTGATGATAGATTGATACAAATTTAAAAAAGATGACACACATTCATACGGATAGAAATTTTGAAGATTTCAACTAATTTCAAAACTTCTTATAAATGTAATTACTTTATTTTAAATTTAAAAACTTTTCGAAAAAATTTTCTTCATTGTTGCTTATATTTTATTTATATATAACTATTTTAAGTATATAATAATTAAGTATAAATGATTTTTTAATACTTTACAATAATTTTATTATAATTAATATCAATAGAAAATATATAAGAAATATTCATGATATTCCCAAAATCTTTGTCAATAAAATAAACTAAATCTAAAAGAATATTATGTAATATTCTGAAAATTTACTTAAAATAACAGAGAGAGTTTTCTTGAAAAGTTTGATAAAATGATAGCAGAATTATATATAGATAATATACAAATCAATATAATTGTATGAATGAAAATTAGTAAATTGTGTATAATGTTCGTAAAATCAACTGAATGCAAATTCCTATCGGGGAAAAGCGCGGTTTGTTAACAAACAAATTAAAATGAGCGGATTTCGGGATCGTCGATTGCCGCAATAACAAACAACAAATCATCATCACGGTATAATTTATAATAATTACAATGTAAATAAATGGATTGTTTCTTGATGGAAATTCGATTTGCATTGTTTTAAGCGTGTTTTCGCAAATTATTTCTTTCCCACCCGAAGCAGTTATCTCGAGGCACGTTCGTTCGGATAAGTGCATACGCGATAAACAACAGAAGACCTTGAACATGACAAAAAGAAAAGAAAAAATGGTAACGCGGACAGCGGCAGAAAAAAAATGCAGGAATTTGCAAGAAAAGAAAAACAGTAGTGAAGAAGAAAAAAAAAAGTTATAAAAAAGCAGCAGCATAACAAATATCTGCGAATCGAAGACGAACGTGCGGACAAATAACAATAGACGCTTAGGCAGGCGTCTTTTCCTGTTTTGCTGTTTTTTTCATCTACTAAATACTTGCGGATTGTTCGAAACCAACGGAATAATAATAAAAAGAATAAGAAAAAGAACTTACCTCATCGTATGAGGGAAGCGGCGTGTAATCTGGATATGCGGGGATGTTGTACAACATTATTGTTCTTCTGTTTCAAAATCTTGTTTATTGCGTCGGCTGTTCTATATGTTGTTATTGTTTTTCTTTTGATGAAATCAGATGAGAAGTGTTAAAAATTATGAAAAACACTCGGCGATCGGTCGCGCACAATTAAGTTACAAAGCATATTTTGTATTCCATACATGAAAGAATGTATGTACATATTACGTTGAATATACACATATATATATATCTATATATTTATATATATACATATATGAATTGTAGTATTCCCATTCCGTAATGGAACATGTAATTTGCAGCGCCGCGCGACGACGCAACGGTAATATTGAAAACCAAAAAAAATATTGGTGGGACGGAGCTGCGCTTTTGTGGTGGGGATGATCCTGCTGCTTGTAGATGTACAGGTGGTGGGGATAAATGGGTGTGTCCTGTGCCCCGCCTATATTTCCTGCCACCGACGAAGAAGGTGCCACGCCTTTCGCAGGATAGCTTTCAGGAGCTTCGGATGACTGGAATACTACGTGAGCTTTTAAGAGCTTTCATGTGTATTGTGTGTGCGCGTGGAATGCTCAAGTCGACGTGAAATTCGTAAAATTAATCTCAATTTCGAGGATATGATATGCTCGAGAACCAACACTCACGAACGAATTAAAAATGAACGTGTTAATTGTAGAATCATGAAATCTTTTTGGAAAATCCTTTCATTTCAATATGTTCTACATCAATGTCATCTTTGTAACTTTCTGTTATTTATTCCATACCATTTGACAGGGATAGCTTTCATCATAACTCATATTGAAATAAATAAAACCACGACATGAATATGCGCGTATGTTTATAACCATTGGTTATCAAAAATTCAGATCACATTAATACTAAGTTCTTCGTATTTATATTAACCAGAGTTTCTTTTATATCGCTAATTTTTAACAATCGCTTTGGCTCATAAAAAATGAAAATAATGTATAACAGCAACAAAATAAGCAATAAAAAGAAACGATATATATCGGCTTTTTTTTGTAATATTCTACTCTAAAGTTATTAAATCTATTAATACCAAAGACAAAATGTAGAAAATCTCACAAAAGTAGTAAAATAATTGCATAATTTCAAAATAATCAATACATTATAGTTAATTGCATATTTAAAACTTTTAACTTATAAAAATATATTTAACAGGAAAATAGTTTTTTTTTTAATGAACAAACCTTTGAATATAGAGCCCTATATAATCAAAGAATTAGCTAATTGATAATTATGAGTTACATAAAAAATACAACAATTATTTAATTAATACTTTATAACGATTTGGCTTTTATTTAAATTCGTTCAAATAAATTTAAAAAAATAAAAATTTTAAACGGAATTTCTTAATCAAATTGCATTTTATTGAATATTATTTCTTTCTACACTTTCTCGATTTCGTCGCCAAGGGTTATGAAAATAAAATATATATTGATCTTTGATTCAATGAGTTATGAAATGATATGATTCATGCAATTAGTTGTTTTGTGATACTTGTTTTAGTATATTATTATCTCATGTTTGTCAATCTGACATAAACTTTTTAATGTGTAGCTGTAAGCTCCATCTGGTGAATGACTAATATAGTTCCTAAATATACTAGAACATGATCATCACGCTGTAGTAGTAAATAAAGAATGTATGGCAACCCTACATACACATGGACAGCGGCGGCTCGTCTGTAGAGGTTCTGTTACTTTTTGCAGTAGCCAAACTAATACACTTTGTAATTTCTTCCCCTTGTCGTGTGGCTAAAGTCGCCTGTATCACAAAAATCCTGCTCAACGACTCGGTCTGATTAACAAAAATTTGTGGGGGCCGATAAACACGAAAAGTTGTAGAAATTGGGCCAAAGTTAAAATTTAAAAAAAAATGTGATGCCTTCACATTTTATTGATCTTATCAGAAACTATAATGGATAAAATCGATAAAAAGATTCGTATGAAGACTGGTTGTTTGGGGAATGTAGCAAGTATTCACACATTGCTGTGGATGGGGTCTATATCGCAAGCCCGACAACCATAATCCCGACAAACAAAATCCCGACTATATCGAAAATTTCTACCATAACATTTTTAAATTATTTCGAAGCGTAGTCACCTTGTGATACATTTTTATTATTAATAACAATAAATTATTATTAATTTATTTGATTTTATTGAATTATTCATAATAAACCTTAATATTATGAAATAATCTCAAATACAATTAGATTATTAATTGTTGTTATTTATTATTAATAACAATTTAAAAGTGAGTACGCTCCGGAATAACTTAAAATTGTTATTGAAGACATTTTCGATATAGTCGGGATTATGGTTATCGGGATTTTAATATAGTCGGGATTATGGTTGTCGGGATTTCAATACAGTCGAGATTTCAAACGACGGGAATTTGATTGACGGTATTTCGGTTGTCGGACAAATACAATATTATAGATTATGTAAACGTATATTTCGTTCATGTTTTGTGTCGGATGTGTTATTTTGTGTTGTATATCATGTCACTAATCGATACGTTCACTTTCAGGTGCTAAATCATAGCATTTCATTCTATCCCAAATTTTCTCTATTTTCTTTTTGTTTCCTCCCGGGTGTGCGGTCACGCGTTTGCTCTCATTTGCTGTGAATGAGAGCAGCGGCTTCCACGTGGCCGCATTCCTAGGTACAAAAGGTATATTATCTTCTCTCGAAGATGATAACTAGGTATCAATTCAAGCTCAAAACATAGCCGTTTTGCATTTACCTTCACGACGTACTCGTAGCATATTCTGTTTCGTACAGAATATGCTACGGATCTCGTTTTCATCCACTAGTTTTACCATACATTGCTATATCTATGGATTGCAAATTAAAATTGAAAAAAATAATGATTAGTTTCTTGTTCTTCTGTTTGAATAAACATCTGACATCTGTTAATATCATTTCGAGTCAATAACTTCTCAACATTATAATTTTGGGGTTTATATCGCAAGCCCGACAACCGAAATACCGACTATATCAAAATCTCGACTGTACCAAAATCCCGATTATATCAAAAATTTCAACAATAACATTTTTAAATTATTTCGGAGCTTTCGGTATTTCGGACTTGCGATTGCCACCGATAATTTAGACTATCTACCGAAGAAAAGAATTGAGGGATGTTTTTCCCGTCTTCGATAAACACAATAAAGGATATAGCAGCTTCCGATTTGAAGGCCGACTTGATTTTTTTTGTCAAGTTTTATCAGAGAAGGAAAGCCAGTAATCATGAATATTATAACTCTAAAAAATATATACTAATTATTCCAATCTTACTGCTAATTTTAGTTGGTGATGGCCGAATTGTACAGCGGAGCAAGCTAAATGATGCTCGGTGGTAGTGAAGAAGATACAGAAGAAGAATAAAATAGAATATGATCCACTTGATTATTGAATAATACAAAATATGAAACTAATATCAATTATTCTATTAACTACTGTATGTAAAAATATATTAATTTTATGTGTCAAGAATTTTTGTTGTCAGTTAGTTGAATCATTATGTTTTATTCAATATATTTTAAAAAAAAAAAACAAAAAAGTTTATGTACCATATTTATTCAGTATATTGTTAATTTTTATATTGAAATTTCATCATTACTCTATCATTTAGTATCACATTTCACATCAAGTATAAAATATCCTAACTCAAAATGTATGTTAATTAAAGTGTATAATTGTAGGATAATTAAATAAATTCAATGGTGCACTTCAATTTTGAACATAAGTCACGGAATGACAAAGAAAAAACAAAATATTTGAAAATGTACACTTTTATTTTACAAAAGTAGACATTTAGGCGTGACACGAAATTGTATTTTTTTTTATTATAAAAGAGATTTATATCAATTTATTTATTGATATAAATCTCTTCCGGCCCTATTTCTACCCCTTTCATGTTTAACAACCACCACAAATATTAATTGTTATTATTTATTATTAATAACAATAAAAGTAACAACGCTCCGGAATAATTTAATACTGTTATTAATTATAAGACATTTTCGATATAGTCGGGATTATGGTTGTCGGGAATTTGATTGGCTGTATTTCGCTTGTCGGGCTTGCGAAATTGTATTCCAACAGAGATTTTAAGTTTTCTCATGGCACAACCATCTATCGGCGAGAGCGCAAAACTAAATTTAGCGCATGTTACGGTGGTTGCATACTGAAGATAAATTCAATTTTTAATTATAAATTTTTACACTTTTTTTGTCAACTGCTAATGAACTCATTGAAACAAATGAATCTGCAGCTATGAATTAAGAAAATTTAAGGTAGCAATGAAATATTAATTCTATTACTATCACATACAATAATTGCGTTTTTAGCTTAATTTGATTAAAAAGGGCGGTCGTTAGTACTTTGACCAGCCTATTAATATATATATTTTTTTTATTTTATGTTAGAATTTATTTATATATAGAATGTACTTTCTTTTTCTGTTTTCTTATGTATTTATGTTTGGCCAATAAATTATTATTATTATTGATTAAAAATATTTTATGTAAAATATACCAATTACACTTTGTTTTATAGTAAAAAGTAACTGCTCTTTTTATAATTACAATTTTAATATATAAATAATAAAATATTTATATAAAGATAAAAGAAGCAGCGTCGACAGTTTTATTAAAAAAATACACTTTTCAGTATTTTTTAAATGATAAAATATTAATACAATTGCTTTAAAATTTTGTATATTATCTTATAGTTAAAAATTGGAAATATTGAAATGCAAAAAAATATGTATTAATTATGAAACTTTTATACAAAAATTACTTTTTTTTTCAAAATATAAATGTATTAAACAAAATAGGTTTAGAATTTCTCTATTAAATAGTGAATTTATTAATAATAATATTTGTTTCAACAATAAAAAAACATTGAATACAATATTATAACACAATAAATAAAAATCAAATTACACAGCTGAAAATAGCTATTGGTCATAGGTCTAAGTTGTTATGAAATTTTATTTAACTGCAAATTCCTTGAAATTGATTAATGTTTAAAAATAAAATAAAGCTGATCGTTTCAGATTGAATAAAGATTGCGCTTGTTCATGAGATAAGTGGTAGCCGTCTGAAAGCCAATTGTTTCAGCACTGGTCTGCATTTGAACAAATTGAATGCATCGACCTATTTCCTTGACATATCAGTCGGTTTGAAGCAGTTTGAAGGTCTAACAACAAAATAAGTATTATGTAACTATGGAGAATAAAAATAATAATATATAATATTTTACCATGAGTAACCGATAACAAAGCGATAAGAAAGATAAATTTGTCATGTACTGGCATATGGTCATGTAGCAGGACGAAGTGAACCAGAAATGTACTAAATGTGAATATTAATTATCGATATTAATTAATCTCCAAATTATAGTACTTTAAAGATAAACAAGTTGGCCGTTGATCAGGGTTACCTTAACTACATGGCTAAATGGGCTATAATCCCGATACGTCAGCCTTTTGTGGCGGCAATTTTGCTTTTCCTCTGGCGTATATATCTTAGGACGACCCTGCCGATGATACAACAAATGTATATTTATCATGATAACAAAAAAAAAAGTTCCAAATCACTGTTCAGTATTATCACCGTAATTGATCAATTACATCAAGTGTTCATTTATTAATTTTCCTCGTCTCGTTCTATAGTTAATATATGTTTGTTTATGTTATTATCAGTAAAGTTTGTTCGCTCTGATTATCATCTGATCGAGTATATAAGGTTTGGTCGAAAATTTATTCGCACAAATTTTATTAGGTGCACTTTTCTTTCGGTTGACACGATCAAGGTTCTACCCTGTAATAATATTAGAGGAGGATGGAGTATAGTAAGGAAAGTTTAACATCCGTTTTGAGGAAGTACGAGGTCGATTCTACCGTCGATATCAAGACTGTTGATGTCAAAAGGGCGGTAGATATAGGCAATAATTTCGTTTCCGATGTCAAGAAAGTTACGGTCACCGGAAGTAAAACTGTCCAAGGCGTTAAAAAAGGTAATTTTGGTTTTAGTAATTTAAATTAAATTTAATCTGAACAACTCAAGGTCATTTACATGTGACATTAATAAAAAAATATTTTATAATCTGTTATCAAACATAACTCAATCAAAACAAAAGTCGCAAGATTAGTTCTGATCATAGTTTAGAGTGAAAATAATTTTCAGAATTTTGCATATTAGTTAATAAATATGTTTTATTGTGTGTTTGAATACTGGATTTTTTTTTATACATTATAGATTTTCAAAAGTCGATAATCGTGAAAGAACTGCTAAAAAATAAAGGAATCTCTGACAGTTTGAATTACGATCAATGCTTCGTGAATGAAATGATTGCATACAACAAAATCCTTCCAGAATTGAAAAAATACACTGTCGACGGTGAACTTCCGGTACCGGATTGCATTTACGCAAATGAATCAGCAACGGCTTTGGAAGATCTCTGTCCTGAGGGTTACGAAACCGTGGATAGATTCATTGGGTTCAGCGTCCAGCAAATTGAGGATATCCTAAGGGTAAATTTAAATGTAGATTAACATTGAACTTTATATTATTTTTATCCAATTTCAGGTGTTGGCAAAATTGCATTCGGCTTCGTTGGTGATGTCGGAGAAAGATCCTAAGAAGCTGTCTGAACTTTCCAAGCTTATTCCGGAATTGGTGTTCGTAATGGATCCCACTGGTTTAGCCAAGTCTATGAAGAGTTTCGTGAGAATTGCTGTAAGAGTCTTCGAGGAGCTGGAGCCTACGGAGAGGAATCGCGAAGTTCTGGCGATGCTGAATAAGTATTATGAGAGTTTCCAAGAGAATAACACTAAGCTGTTTGAGGTGCCCAGGAAATACTCCGTGTTAAACCATGGCGATGCCTGGGGCAACAACATCTTGCTGAAGGAGAGGAACGTGAAGTTCATCGATTTTCAATTGATGCGCTTTGCTTCTGTTGCTTCCGATCTTACGTACTTCTTCTGCTCCACTTGTAAACCATCGCTCAAGATTAATTTGGATCACTATCTTTCGGTGTATCTAGACTCTTTGCATTCTCACTTGATGGGCTTCGATATAAATCTGAAAGATATCCTCACCATGGATTGGTTGCGTAAGGAGATGTACGACTTCCAGCCGGTCGGTTTCGTTTGCTCCCTCTGGTTCCTTCCCCTTTATTTCTTCAAGAAGGAACACCTTAACACGGACATGTTCACCGAAAAGCAACTCACGGACGACGAGCTTCGTTGGACCAAGTGCACTCCAGAGTTTAAGCAAAGATTGATCGAGATGGCCTACGATTTTTGCACAGGATTTAAAATATGAGCGAGCATTTTATTATATTTTGGATTTCTTCTATTTGATCTGCATGTTTTTTTTTTGCTTCATTTAATAAAAAAAAATAAATACATTTATTGAACGACAAAGACAAATCGTTTTCGCCAAGCAGTCGAGCAAGCAGATATTTATTTACCATTGAACTGAATAGTTTATTGAATGGAATTGGCGTAAAATCGACCTTGCCAATAATATATATTCGCACTAAACAAACGATACGGACAGAAAACAAGTTGTTGTTATTTTCTAATGCGGATATATGTATATAAACGTGAGCAAATCGCACGGTGCGTTTATCAGTTCTCAGTCGATCCAGTCCAAGTTACGAAAAAATAACAACAGTTTAGGCACTCTGTGTCAGATTCATTGATTTTAATATAATTTTAATAAGTTAACGAAGATGGGTTTGGGTAAGGTAATGATGGACCTATGCGGGAAGCAAAACCATTGTGATTTGCTACCGATCCAGACCTTTCTCAGGGACTTGGAAAACGATGAGACTTTGGTTGTGCAATCGTGTCGATCTTTTGAGTCCGCCGATGTTGCGGAACATTTTGTTTCGGAAATCTATAGGGTCGAAGTGACAGGATTTAAAAAAAATGAAGATAAACAACAAGGTAACACATTTCAATCCACTCTTATACAAACCTTTAAAAAGAAACGTTATAACAAACAGAATTTTAGTAGTAGGCGCTTATATATTATATATTCAAATTGAATTTACGTCAGCAATTAAGGGAAAATATTTGAACAATTTACTAAATCATGATCAACAATGAAATATTATTTTTATTTAGACTACAAGAAGATGTTAATAGTAAAGTGCAGATTACGAAACGAAGCGGTCGTGAAGGAATTTAATTTTGAAGAGGTCTACAAGAACGAGTGGTTGGCTTATACCCGAATTTTACCAATATTGAATAAGAACGCATCCGGCGATCTCCCAATTCCAAGATGTTTTTACGCTGATCCCACCATGTTGGTCTTGGAGGATTTGTCCGTATTAGGTTACAAAACTGTTGACATCGTTGAACCATTCACCGTACAACATGTCGAAAGTACACTTTGTGTAGGTATAAGCAAATTGTTTTACCAATTAAAACTTAATAAAATATTTTTTCAGGCTTTGGCAAAACTACACTCGGCTTCCATGATTATGGAAGAGAATGATTACGAGAGCTTGGAGGCCTTGTCAGTGTTCACGAATGATGTTGTCTACAATCATGGCGATGTCAGTAATCCTGCCAAGTACCAAAAGCTTAATATTGACCTAGCTATAGCAGTATTTAAAGAATTGGGCGATTCCGATGAAAACTATTCTGTGCTGGAAAAACTGAATAGATTGAAGGACATCTGCTTCGATTTACAGAAAAAATTGGTGTGCACGAAGAGACCATACCGCGTGATTAATCACGGCGACGCTTGGTTTAATAACATAATGTTGAAAGACGGCAAAGCGATGTTGCTCGATCTTCAAATAATGCGTTTCACATCTCCGGCCGTCGACTTGAGCTACTTTTTATATGTTAACTTGAAGCCTTCTATGAGGAGGGAGAATTTAGATAGGTTCTTGGACGTGTACCTGGAGAACTTGGAAGGTGTAAAACGATCCAAGAATTGGCTGGTCAAGGAGATGAAAGAATTTGCAGTCGTCGGATTTATTAACGCTTTGTGGTTGCTGCCTTTGTTCTACTTCAAAAAGGAATTTTTAGGGATCAGCCAAGAGATGACACGAAGTGACCAGGAATACATTAATATGTATTTGAATAATGCTTCATTTTACTTCAAAGAGCGCTTGCGTGAAATAGTCATAGATTTTTTTAACCACGAAGACTGTCCGTTAGTTTTATAGAAATGATTTTAATATCCGATTTTATTTGTAAATTTGTAATTTTATTTATTGTTTCAATTGTATTGTAAACCCTCAATTGAGACTGATTTTAATCTGTTTGTGTAGAATTTTAATATGTACAATCTTTGAACTAATTAATTAAAACAATTCATTCCTTGTCGGATGTTGACTTCATTGATATCATAAGCATATATCTTTCATTTTCATGAATGCATTACCCTTTAATACATGATTTCTCTAATTTAATTTGAAAATAATATCAAATATCTCGATTTGGTAAAAAAATATTCAATATTCATTATTAAAATCATTTTGATACGATTTTAATTATGATTCTTACTAAGTTGCACACCAAATCATTATTCAGATTTATAAAACTCATCTTTATGTTATTGGTAGAAATAAAAGTGTTGTTGCTTTAATATATTTTACAAATACATTCGATATATACAAAAAAAAAATAGTATTAAAATAATAATTAAAAATGAGAAAATCATAAAAGAAGGGGACGGGAAATAATGTATATAAAAAAATAAAATAAAACATAAGAATAAATATAGTTCCAGTTTCATCTCAGTGTGTTGTAGATGGCTTCGTCAGAATCCGATGTTACACTGTCGCCGTTGGAGCCTAGCTTCACGTAACAATATTCCGAGTGCGGTTTGTGTCTGCACTTGCAGATAGAGCCGTTATCACATTTGCATTTCGCGTCCTGCTCGCATATCTCAGCGTAGATGTTCTCGTGTTTCCCGCTGGGCTTGGCGCACACCTCGTCGGCGACGTGGCTGTAGGGGATGTCCTCATCCAGAATCTTCTTGCGCAACTGCATCTTCGTTTTGGATAAGGAATTCTCGTGGATTTGCACTACCACCGATTTAACATTGGGCTTCTTCTCTTGCGCCATTTGGATATCGAAGATGGAGAGACTTGTGGATTCGGCCACCCGCATGCTTCCGCGGTTTTTCTCCAGGTTGTTCGTAAGCATCGAATGCTTGCTGATGCTGCGCTTCTGGACTTTCGTCTTCACGTGGAACTCCGAACACAGGCGATCCGTCATGAAACTGCTGTCGTCCTTGGTTAATGTCGGGATGAGATCGGGCTTCGTCTTCTTTAGTTTCACATCCTCAGTCGCAGGTCTGATTTCATCCAAGTCGATTTTCAACGGTTGCTTCTTTTTCGGTTTCTCGATGGACGTCGTCTCGTTGTCCAGGATGCACATCTGGAAGTCGTAGCTCAAGCTATCGGAAATATTCGACTTGGCGGTGTGCCACTGGGTAGGCGGTTGCGATGATTCCTCTATGGAAAACAACTGAGTATCGAGACTTTGACATTTGAGCAGCGCCGGATTGTTTTTGGTCTGCGTCGGCGTCTCCTCCAAATCGATCCTTTTTGTAGAGAACATGAAGCTGGCGGACTTCTTCACAGGATTGTAACTCTTCTTCCCAAACTTGTCCTCGATCAGCTTCGACATGTCCTTGTATCGCTCTATGCTCTTTACCTTCTCCATGCCATCTATAGGATCTTTCAAATTCTCAAACTTATCCTCTGCACCAACTCCGAGGATCTTGAAATGTTTGTACCATTTCTTTGACTTGGGAAACTTTTCCAGCACCTCTTTAGTTATGAGCTGTTTGGTCTCTTCCTCCACCAAGTTTTCGCAGCTTCCTTTCTTGCAATTTGAACCTTTGCATGATCGGCACTCGTAGCACACCTCAAGGTTTGGCGCTAACCTAACTTCTCGATACCAGCTTTCGACGTTCTTGTGGCAGAACGCCAAAGCTGCCTGGAGCCTCTGCGACTTGAACAGCCTGTTTTCCGAGTCAAATCCCAACATGCATCTCGATATCTTCACTCCGGAATTGAGGTTGATGCAGCTTATCTCGTGCTTGGCAGTTTCGGAAGGGGCTGGTAAAGTGCATGTTACCATGAGCGGCTCCTGGAACTTCTTCTCCAGGATGAAAGTATCCGCTGTGAACCATTAAAAACCAAGATTAAACATGTTTATTGGTGATAATCAGAAGTTTTGTGGCGGGTTGTAATTACGCATCCGCATCCTGGACAATAATATATGCGCAAACTTATAAACTTAAATTATTTCTGAGAATACACCTATCCATTTTATTACCACTACATCATAAGAAACATTAATGTCTTACTTAAACATGTATCGAATTTTAAATTTGTATTTTAAACATTTATACACAGTAGCCAACATTCGTGTATGTTAAGAGGTTTCTCTACCAACTGATTATAATCCATGTGGAGATTCTTGATACTCATATCTTTGACTATTAATTGCTTTAAATTAAATGAAATAATGAATAATCATCTATGTTCTGTTATTTATATTATACTTTATGAATATGCAATATATACATAAATTTAATACTGTAAACTTTGATTAATATTTATAATTAATTTACACATGCTATTTCGAATCAAGATGCATAGACCACACAGAAATCTATTTCAGTTACAACACGCACCGTATAATTTATGACAAGCAATGTCTTTTTCATTTTCATTGCATTTTTGTGAAAAGTTCAATTAACGTAATTGCAATGCAATTGTGAAATGCAATTCTTATATCTGATGCTTATTATTTTTTTTTTGGTATTTAATTATTGCGATTTTTCCTTCCACACTCCGGAGCGGTACAGATGAATAGGTTTTGTGCAACCGTTCGTTACGATGCAGAAGAAGGAGACCGTCTGGACTAAAATTATTAGTTCCAAACCAATTGGTACAGCCGTCTGGGTATTAATGGTATAATTGATTGCGCTCTTCGAGGAGACTGCGATGGAGGCAATGAACCAAAAATCATTTCCTACACTCCATAACAAATAATTGACATTTGCCGAACAAATTTATTAATACTGTCAAATTCGTGTTTTTTTTTTCAGTATTAGTTTTGATACAACTTTGGATTTGTTATTAGTTAAAGTTTAATTCTCACCTGCAAAGTCTTTTGGAAGTCCAGTAGGTAAAGGTCCCGCCAAGAGTTTAACTTTGATGGGCAAAGCAACCCTTCGCAGTAGGTGTGTTATCTTGTAAAGGCAGTCCTTGTCAAGTGCCAAAGGTCCAGTCTTGTCGAGCATCCCCGGAAAGCACAGTTTCGCTTTCACCGAGCTGTGTATCTCGTAGAATTCGCCTTTGGTCGTCAAAGGCACGTAGAATTCCTGCGGAAATAAATCCTCATCACTCGTTATTGCATTTGTTAAAAAAAAAGCATTACATAATTATGTTCGAATGTCGTGCACGAAAGTTTTGTAAGTTGTGTAAGAAGCGCCACTTGATCAAGAATAGAGGTGTCTTAAATATACAGAATGGTTAAAGGAAAAAAAAATAGGTAGTGCTCTTCAGCTTTTGTTCTCCGCTCGTAGATAATTAACGTTAATAACAATAATTTGATAAACGGCAAAAGAGCGATTTTCATCTCGTTAGCCTAGAATGTGGCGCGCGGTGTTGCATGCACACACGGCCGCTCGGAACAATCGTAACGGCACCGGCTGTTAATGCGTTTTTGTTGTTTTACACATTGTCCGGGGAAATTTCAGAGGTTAATAAGTGTGTGCTGTGGCCGAAGAAGTGAAGGCCCCTTTCGCAGCTGTTAAGAGGAGCGTTATGGCCTGATTGTTCGTGATCTACAGAAATGCATGCTAGTTTTTTTTGTTTGTTTTGTTACATTGTTGTCGTTGCAACACCATCTATCGATAACGATCGTAATTTTAATGCGGACTCACTTGATTAGTTTGACTAATTAATTGAGCGTAGCGGTTGCCCAGGTCCTTCTCTCGGGTGGACTTGGAGAGCTTCACCGTCTTGGTGGACATCCTTCCACCGTCATGGTCCCGATGCTGGAAGACTGCCCTCAGCTGGAACAACTGTCCTCCTTTCACTTGCGTTTTCAAATATTGAAATTTCGCGGGTGGCGTAGAATCTTGAAAAAAATCAAATCATTATATTTCTTTTATATTCGAAAGTCTAGATGGCGATTCTATTGGAATCCAATTTAAATACGCCCATGCAATTTAATTGTTTACAATATGCAAATAACTGGGAGTTAATTGAAAGTTTTTGTATGTGGGAGGAATAACATTAATGGTATAATAATCGAAAATTTGCCTGGAGTTATTTGTATATTGCGTTCTGTGTATTATCACTTTTGATTAAGATTCAGAAGATTCGAGACAATAGTATAAACTATGATTAACAGCGGAGGTTCCAGGTAGTAAAGGGTGTCCCGGGTTCAATGAAAGTTTAATTATGAATTTTATGTGCTGCTCGCGTATGGATTCAAGATGGCTGCAGAAGCAACGATAGAAGGACCTTCCTCCTTCTCGCTCTTCTATTATGATGGGGGATAGTGTAATAAACTTACCAGAGGGGTCACTGTGATGACCAGCGTAAGCAATAAAAGGTTGGATGCTAATAAAAGAGCACACTTGCTCTCTAACTAGCTGCAGCACGGACGAGTAGGCCACAGCGCATCGATCGCCCTTCTCGTTAATTAACGAGAACCAACCTGCGAACAAACAAGAATTCAGAAACATCAAGATTTTGACCAGGAACAGATGTACTTTATTTATGGTATATATGCATGGTTCGCAAAGTGCAGGAGGAGTCCAAGATGAAGATGATGATGAAGAGGAGTAGGAGGCGGAGGAGGTGAATGTGCTCGTAAAGTCGAAGGATTCCAATGGGAGAAGAGATGCGAATACAATAAAAGAGAATAACCCAACACACGTATCTACTAAGACCTCCTCTATTCGCAAAACAAATATTTTATATTTATATTACCTAGCTAAACAAGCTATATATATATACAGTGTGATACACATTATATTTCTTAAAATTAAAATTAAAAGTTTTTAAATTACTTTTTTTTTTGGTAATATTAAACAACTTTTAATATTATTGGTAAAAAAAATTAAATTATATAAGAATCTAAAGCACATTCAAATGCAAATATTTTCTAAGAGATGACCAATACTTATGAATTGATCCCTACAATTATCTTATATAAAAAACACCGAGACGGAACGAGAAAAATTGTATTGTTGGTTGCATATACTGGACTTCATAAAACGATTAAATTCTTATTAAAAATAAGCAAGAAAAGGTCGTAAACATAACAAATATTTTTTTTAAACTTTATTTATAAATGTTATCGATTTATTCGGTATATATTGAAGGAATATTCTTTGTTAAAATTGTTGTAAAATTGAGGCTAATATCGTATATAAAAAAAATATATTGCTGAGAGATGTTAATTATATGAAAGCTGTTACTTGAATCAATTAAAAGCAATTAGTATCATCATAAACCGAATAGGTGAGATCCTAAACAACGGTATATTATTATGAACATCTTCAGGATTGGAGTAAATAAAAACACTTAGCAACGATCTGTCAGAACAATAATTAAGAAGTCTAACAAAAGCGACTCCATTAGTGCATTAATTTCCTTTTGTTTCATTTCCTTCAATTATTTATTACAGATAGAACATAAATCTTCACAGGCTATAACTGAAAACGGTCGATATAAAAATGAATGAAAGAATAAGTAGATAAGGCTTACATATTTCAAATAGTTTTGAATCTGGCGCGCAAAAGAGATAACCCATATTACTTGTATCTCTATAGTCGTCGTATATATTATTCTACACGCGATTTTGCATATGTGTAATATGTATAATAATAAATTTCCCACGTGGGCTTTTACACATAGAAATAATGTAAAGTGAATATCGACTCGGAATTACACAACACTTATTATACATACAATGTACGGACGATAATCTCGTCGAACATAAATATATATACATATATATATACGTATACAGCGTGGTTCAAGTATTTCTTGAAAACTATTAAAGTAAAGAGGATATGTTGTGTTTGATGTAATGTAATTGCAATGTTGGTATCATAATTAACTGCGTCAAAATTGACGTTTCTCGGATTTGACAAATAGGGGTTGCGTTAGGTTGAAACAATCTGGAATTCGATTATGCAGTGGATATATTCGATGATTACCATAGTCGGCGTCATCGGTATCATCGTCGTCATTATTATCATTATTATGTCCAGGCATTTAATGCCGCTATCATTTCGCTGGCCATTATTTATCCACACATACGTTTAGAGGCGATTTGCATAATTGGCTGTTTTAAAATCGAACATATATCTCGGTTGTAATTGGTCGAAACTCGACACACATCGATTTTCCGCTAAATCGCTTTTAACCATCTTCGGCCTATGCACGTGTAGTATAGACCTATGGGACGTCTACTTACACGTAACATATTATATACGCTTATTTACGTGTTTTTTTTCCTTACCATTCTTCTTTTTTTATGCAATTGTTTTTCTTCTTTCGTTCGCTTTTGTTTTCTTCTCCTTTTCATCGTTTTGTTTGGCTTCGTCGTCGCCGTCTCGAAATTGTATTAGTTTGATACTCATTGTAAAGTATGTAGGTTTATCATTAAGTGCAATTATTTTGCGAAACTCGTTTCGCTCTGGCATATGGCATATTTTGTAAAGCGAAACCGCATCATAAAAGCACATACATATGTACAATATATACATGCTGGCACACATCTACTAAATGCATTTCATGTAAAATACTCAGAAACTTTGAGAGAATACCAATTCAAGATATCTAATTCATATATTAAGAAAACAATAACATTTTATGAATCATTAATTTGATAAGTGTTCTAATTAAAATCATAATTCACTTATTCAATCATCTTTTCAAAATACAGTGGAACCTCGCATAAAGAACATTTCGCATAACGAGTGACGATGAGAAGAAAAGTCCCGGATTGTGCGCCTGCAACATCATTTTAAAACTTGTGTACACATATTATGTGTATTTGTTTCACTATACGAGTAAAAATCCGGAAATTAAACTCGTTAAGCGAAGTTCCACTGTACTTTAATTTATATCGATCAAATAAACAATAAAATATATTAGAAGCCATTGACCTTAACATATCATCAACCTTGTGAATTGCATTGATATGTATGGTCAAATACTTATTATTCCGTCAAATTGTGTCCGATGAATTATTAATATTAAATTATATGAATATTAAAACTAGGAAATATGTCTTTACATATCAAATAAATATTATTGCAATTACTAATAGTTTAAGTCGTTATAGAAGCGAAAAAGTAAATTCACTATTGTTACACAACATTTCAAACGCTTACGTGAATCGTGTGTATTCCGTGTGGGGAAATAATTTACACAGTTATTGTTATAGTTCCTTAAAAAAAGAATAAAAAAAGGAAAGAAGTCGTAACAAATAAAAATAAATTAAAGAAGTAGAAAAAAAAAGGATGAAACAGCGACGCGGAGACGTTTCTTCCCATAGATGTAATGTAGGAAACGATGAGAATTAGTTTAGTCGAGGAAAAACCCGCATTGTCTTCTACCATTCCCATCGAAACTGTTAATCGCAAGTATCATTTTTATCTTTTATTCTTTGCAATTTTCACTACGTCGAGATTTCACCATTTCTCTCTTACTTAATAGCCACTTTTTGACCTAAATACGACACGAAAACTTTGTTTGCAACAGCACTAATGATAATATAACAACACTTGATTTGTATATTATTATTTTTTTCTATCGGAAAAATTACTTTCTTCTATTCGTTGAGCTAAATAAATAAAATGGTTAAATATTTGTAATAGATAATTCTCGTGTATTAAAACGGAAAGGAAAAGTTATTGGTTTTAGTAGATTGTAGGGTACAATACTTAATAAATATAACTACAGTGGAATCTCGCTTATGGAACACGAGCATAACGAACATTTTGCTTAACGAGCAAAATGAATTTTAAGAAAAATGTCTCGCTTAACGAGCAACGTTTCGTATAACGAGTGACGAATTGTGCGCCTGCTACATCATTTTTAAAACTTGTGTACTTATTTTTGAATATGTTTCACTATATGAGTATTTCACTATACGAGTAAAAATCCGGAAATTTTGAAACGGATTAAACTCGTAAGGCGAGGTTCCACTGTAATTGTAATTTATATATTGATTCAACGTATGATTTAATATTTGCTTTTTCGTCCTTAGTTTATTTTGCTCGCATACTTATTATTACGTGATTTATAATGCGGTTTTTGTTTGCGCGAGTTGTAATTGAAGGGAATTTATGCTCGTCTTGTTAAGCTCATTATATAATAAAATATTACAGATTTAAATTACAGTTTTTAGCAAAACGAAAATTACTCGTTTGTTTCACATGTGTCTGCATCATTATAATACACTTTATATTGTCATAACGAGACGTTAAGACCACCTCCAGTATATTATTTCTTTCTTTCGTCCTTCTTTTTTTTCCGCCTGCTTCTCTCGATCCCTCGTTTTCTCGTCTCTTTCAGCTTGTTTGTTTAACGCACTTCATTTGCTTTTGCTTTTCTTAATTTTACCCGTTTTCTTATGGCACTCACGATTCCTATAATTTATATTAATTATTACTCTTCGTATCATTATTATTTATCTCACTATGTAAAAAAAAGTAAAATTTATAAAGTATTATCTTTTAATTTTAATACACCTGACAATATTTCATTCTCGTGTCACGCATATTGTAGATTCAGCATAAAATCATACCATTAGAACGTGAGCAGATTATGTTCTAGGCATTATAATTAATTTAATCTAGAGTATAATATAATCACGTCAATTATCCATTACATCAGTAAATTAAATTTGATGTCTTAAAAGTATGAAAATAATGTAATTCAGAAGTGATTTATGATAAACTTTCTACTATTTTTCTTTTACTTTCTCCGAAGATTGTATGCGTATGGATAACATATTCTGACTTACCGTTGTATCCTTCGGGGAAGTGCAGGACATTAGTATCCGTCTTCTCTTTGCCCTTCTTGGTGTAAACAGCTCGTGCTTCGATCTTGGTGAAGCTGTCGAAACAGCGGTAAAGGAGGAGAGGTTCGCTTCCTGCAACCCTGACAACCCTCGGCAACGAATAACGTTCGAGGAAATCCCTTGCCTCGAGATCCAACTTTCGGTCACCTGTAGATTCGGGACTCGTGTCCGGGGTGGTCCTGCTATCACGACTTTTCGTGCTATCCGGAGTGTTGTCTTTGCTGAAGTTCGCGCTGGAATCATGGGAATTGTACCGCCTCAGGACCGCAGTTTTCCGATCCTTCTTGTCCTTCCTCTTCTCCTGGAAGATGAAATGCGAGGCGTCGAAACTAGTCAAGGCGTCCGAATGCCTGAACAGTGGATTGTACGAGGTCTTCGGCGACAGCGGACTCCTCATCCTCAGCGAAGGCATCGAGGAGTTCCTGCTGCAGCTGTTACCGCCGCTCCCACGGCTGGAGCTGCTCCTCGAAGAGACGGTCGCGTTTTGAAACATCGCACCATCCATAACTTTTACATTATAAATCTGTAAACAAAACAAAACATTTATTAACCAAAAGTTAGAATTGTTCAGTTGTATATATAAAAATGTTGGGAAACACTGAAGAAGTTGGAACATTCAACGGAGACGGAGAAGGCGAGACACGCAATGGAACGAATTGGAAACAGTAAATCTTCGTAACCCACATATTAATTTTCCTCCCCAACAGCAAACCAGCTCTCCTCTCTCTCTCTCTCTCTCGTACAACGATAATTTATTTATTATAATACGTTACGGGCATTCGAGATAAATCAAATATTTGCAACAAGGGGGCAAACTCCGCTCATTCCGGAACGGAAACTAGTTTCCACTTTACGTTTTGCAAAATCCATACAACAGCGATTACACAAAAATTTACAATGTACAACCGCCTCCATGACCTTCGTCGAATCCTCCAGCTTGAAATGAAGATTTTAAATAAATTTATTCTTATATCCTCCAGCCATATTCAACAAATAAAAGACAAAATCAAAATCCATTATTTTTTCAAAATTTACTTGTATCACAAGTTCTTTAGTATATAATTATTGTAAACTATTAGATAGAAAACATTTTCATTTGTTTGCAACAATTTATCCAATAATTATGTTAATTTTTTCAATATACAAAAATAAGAAAAAAATTAAATGTTCGTTGCATTTAATAAGTTTCATCGAAGCTGTATTTTTCATATACAAACAAATAAAGTAAATAAAAATTGAGAATCTAGAATCTGTTTTCTTATAATTACTATCTCTATAAAAAGACAAACTTCAATTTGAAGTCCTCGCCTTCATATCTCAACTTGCCATCGTTAATTTAAAACAAACTTACCTGCAGATGATCAAGAGCCTGCAAATTAATTATGAAACCACTGCAATTATAATCGTGCATCTTTTTATATCTTATTAAAATGCGAATCCCACGCATATCAATACTGAAGATAACCGTATTATAATATTCGATTTCATTACAAGTTTTAAAATGTTAAAAATATGCTGTTTCTTTTGGTATTTATATTCACATATTGTTTTCTGTAGCTTTACTGTGAATAAATATTGTGCTAAAGTGAGCAAAGATCTTGCTACATATTCGATCTAGTTTCTGCGCGAATTTAGAATAATGTCAATTCGACGGTAATGATTATGGTATGTTGAAAAGGTGTCTCGTATTGTTGCGATTCGCGGTCGGCCGTTGCTGCATTACGACATAAATGCAAGGAAACGGTTTTCCAAATGGAACTGTCCTAATTATGTAGGCCATTACTACTAAGCGCACGAGATTTTCCACTCCAGTTGCAATACTCCAATTCTTTTGCTGTTTTTGTTTTTTTTTCGTTCACCTCCGACAAATGCAATCTGGCGACATTCATGAACGCACAATGGTTTGATTCATGCGACATTTCGTAAACACAATCCAAATCACGCCTATATTCCTAAATGGATTTCATATTATTTTTTTTATTCTCAATGCTCGTATTCGTATTAATACATTGTGAAATTGCATCAAGGGATTTGTAGTTTTTTACACAGTAATTCCTGTCGTTGTTTCTACGAATTTGGTATTTATTGCGTTCCAATTTACATTCAGCGGTACGTGTGCATTTTCTGTTACTGACATGGCCTCATCTGGCCATCATTATCATCATCATCGTAGTCGTCTCAGATTGTGGTTTCTGTTATATATGAAAATGCAAATTGGTGTAAGTATCACTTACACAGACACGAGAGCGTTCTGTAATGATTGAGAAATTAGCATCGAGACTATGAAATTTCCATGTCAAAAACATAATAGCGTCCACTTTATAAGTGTGGACATAAAATGAAATTACCAATTTATTTATGGCATATAGCCGTGAGCCGCGTCTTCTCATTCTTCTACGTTCTCGTCGTCTTATTCTTATTCTCCTCGGGACCTCGCCTCTTCTACTCTCATCGTTCCCACCGTCCTACGAAACGGCATTTCCAGACAACTCAAATTTTCATAGGTTATTTTAAATTCAAATACATTAAAACTCTGTTTCTTGAATCCATTACTATCATTTGAATATTTATTTTATGAAACGCAACAATCAAGCATCAATCAGTTTACTTTTTTATGAACCAGAAGATGGCGTAATTATCATTACGTTTTTTTACTAAAATTATCCAAAATCCAAAAACTAATGAAAACAGTGCAGAGTTTAACTATTGAGCACACGAAAACATATTAGAAACATACATATTTTGTTGTTAAGTTATGTAAGAGATGACAGAGTCATAAGAGGTCTGATAGCTCGGTGGCAATCGCAAGCCCGACAACCGAAATATCGTCAATCAAATTCCCGTCTATCGAAATCCCGACTGTATCAAAATCCCGACGTTCGAAATCCTGACTATCTCAAAATCTCGACAACCATAATCCCGACTGTATCAAAATCCCGACTATATCGAAAATATCTTCAATAACATTTTAAATTATTTCGGAGCGTAGTGACTTTTAAATTGTTATTAATAATAATTAACAACAATTAATAATCTAATTGTATTTGAGATTATTTTATAATGTTATGAATTATTATGAATAATTCAAGAAAATCAAATAAATTAATAATAATTTATTGTTATTAATAATAAAAATGTAGCACAAGGTGACTACGCTCAGAAATAATTTAAAAATGTTATTGTAGAAATTTTCGATGTAGTCGGTATTTTGATACAGTCGGGATTATGGTTGTCGAGATTTTGATATAGTCAGGATTTCGAACGTCGGGATTTCAATACAGTCGGGATTTCGATACAGTCGGGATTTCGATACAGTCGGGATTATGGTTGCGAGATTTTGATATAGTCAGAATTTCGAACGTCGGGATTTCAATACAGTCGGGATTTCGATACAGTCGGGATTTTGATAGACGGTATTTCGGTTGTCGGGCTAGGGCCCACGACCTTAATACGACCCTGAAAATAAGCCCACTATCATAATAACAAAAACCTATTTATTATTTGTTTTCTAATCAAATTCTATATGGGCAGATGGATTATAATGACGAAAAAAATAATGTGATTTTGATGTTAAATATTAAATTGATATTAAAAATCAGTTTAATCAGGAATTTTTTAAGTTATTTTGTTTGTTTAGTAACGTTTTAGATAATTTTCAATGTTCTATATATTATCGCAAGAACCCTACTCAGATTACAAAGAAACTAGTTATCATTAATATATTATGAAGTCATGTGCAAAATTGGAACGGTGTTGTATTACGGCTTATTATATGTGACAGTGCAGTTAATCAACCTGAAAATAGAAGTAATATGTAGATTATATTAATATGAGCAAAAGTGGAGTACTTAGAGAATGTATTTTGTGTGTGTGTGGTTTTTGGGTAAATTTTGCAACCGTTTTGCGTATGTGGTGGATTCGGATGGATTATGATCGTGTGTAGAAGACAAAGCCCATTGACAGGGAGGCCGGGGGTCACGGCAAGGTCATAAAGGCAATGACTCTCTCGGTTTAGTCGTGATTCAAGCTCAGGTGGTGTTCGCGTGGGCGAGATCCGTCTGATCTGTTTTATCGGTCCATCTGCGGCATCGACACAGAATCTGCCCCAACGGCTCTGGCAACCAGACAACCACCGGTGCTCGTGCATCTGGAACCCTAGAATCGTATCAACGCCATCTCATAAAGTTCACAAAAACTAAACTTGCAAATGTAATTCCACTTCTTAAATGTAATCATACTATTCCTATCTTATCCATAAGATTATAAATCTTCACTGGATCATCAATGAGTGAAATAAAGTAATAACTTTTTTGTTTGTTTATAATTAAATATGTTTCTTGCAATGAATGTTATAACTTTAAAAGAAGCATACGACGACTGTAAATTTCAATGGAAATAACATATGAACAGAGAGAGAAAAAAATGTAGCAATAAAGGCACGATTCCAGAGTACATTTGACATACCTTTTGATGCAACAAGCCACAATTTATTTCTATACTTTGTAAAGTGTGATAGAAGATAATATCAGTTATAATGTGAGTTATTTTTAGACCACGCGATCCTCAGTTCCTTTTTTTTTGCCTGTTTGGCCTCTGCTCCTGCATCTTCTTCTTCTTCTCCTTCTGGCCGATCTTCATCATCCACACACACACATACTCACACATCCTTCCCCCCTTTATATCTTTCTTTTTGCATTATTATTTTTAATACCGCCAACTTACATGCTTACTTTGTTTTTAGTTACTTTTCGCGTTCTTATTTCATCTCGTAATGGCGCGCAAGATGCGATCGTATCGCCGTTCTCTCTTGCTATCCACGGTGTATGTGTGTGTGTGTGCAGTATCCTTGGATGCACACAAGAATTTATCTCTTATAACTGTGCATAAGGACGAAGCGGATAAATTTTACAGCTCTATTCCATTCCGCACGATTTTCACTATCTGGAGACAGAAAGACCACCTCATTTCTTTACCCAACTCGAATTTATTTTCTATAACCACATTTTACAGAAATAATCTAAGATTAGCAAAACGACAGTTATAGAAAAAATAAACTAATGATAAAAATTGTTATATGGAAACAATTCATTTTGAATAACGAGACCGAGAATAGAACCTCGGGGATGGTTTCATAATGCAGTCTCCGTACTAATGAGATGGATGGAATACGATAGAATAATTGGATTTTGAGCAGCGTTGAAGAAAAGCGATTGGTATATAAGCAGCGAGGGAGAGCAAATAGCACATAAATTATTTTATTATGCGGAGATGGCAAACGGATGAACTCGACGAGGCGAGGGAACCCATCTCCTCTCTTTTATATATTTTTTCCCCCTATACTCACTTTACTACTTCGAGTTATACTCGAGCCCAGCAGGGATTTGCTCCGTTTTACCACTAAATCCATTTAAAACACGTGCACACGTGCGTCGGTTCATGCCAACTGAGTGAACGCGACCTTGCGCAACGTACAACAAGCCAAATACGAAAAAAAAAGAAACAACGGACAAATAAATTGCTACA